GACCTCGCCCGGGCGCTCGAGGAGTCCTGCTGGTAGCACTGCGGGAGGCCCGCCGCGCAGGCCTGGGGACATGGAGATAGGAGGTGTGTCATCGTAGCCGACCCTCCTCCTTTTCCTTTTCCTCCTCCTCCCCCTCCTCCTCCTCCTCCTCCTCCTCCTCCTCCTCCTCCTCCTCCTCCTCCTCCTCCCCCTGCCTCTTCCTTCTCCTCCTCCTCCTTCCCCTGCCCCTTCTCCTCCTCCTCCTCCTCCTCCTCCTCCTCCTCCTCCTCCTCCTCCCCTCCCCACCTCCTCCTCCTCCCCCGCCTCTTCCTCCTCCTCCTCCTCCTCCTCCTCCTTCTTCTCCTCCTCCTCCTCCCCCTGCCCCTTCCCTCCTCCTCCTCCTCCTCCTCTCTCCTCCTCCTCGTCCTCCTCCTCCTCCTCCTCCGCCTGCCTCTTCCTCCTCCTCCTCCTCCTTCCCTGCCCCTTCCTCCTCCTCCTCCTCCTCCTCCTCCTCCTCCTCCTCCTCCTCCTCCTCCTCCTCCTCCTCCTCCTCCTCCTCCTGCCTCTCCTCCTCCTCCTCCTCCCCCCTGCCCTCTTCCTCCTCCTCCTCCTCCTCCTCCTCCTCCTCCTCCTCCTCCTCCCCTCCCTGCCCCTCCTCCTCCTCCTCCTCCTCCTCCTCCTCCTCCTCCTCCTCTGCCTCCTCCTCGTCCTCCTCCTCCTCCTCCTCCTCCTCCTCCTCCTCCTCCCCCTCCTCCTCCTCCTCCTCCCCCAGTACTGCTCCCGCACGGAGGGAGGTTCGGAAGTTCAGGAGCTCCCTGGCCGAGACGGGCGACCCTGGCGAGCCAGCCGACCAGTAAGCCTGCATGCGGCGCAGTGAGAACTCCAACGCACCGTCTGCGCATCACGAGTAGGCGGACCCGGGCTCAGACCCAAGACTCGGGTGGGACCCGGCGTAGTTGCGTCAGACCTGGGAGTCCTCGCACGAATCTCCCACCTCTTATTACGGGCTCCGCACGCTCCGCGGGCGCTTGTAGCATTGCCGCCCCTTTCTAGGCAGACCTGGGGTAACCAAGCGGCTGGCGGCCGCCAGGGAAGCGGAGGGTTATAGGAGCTGGGATGTGTCCCGCCAGCCCCTGTTCCGATGTAGAGAGGAGCGACCCGCCCCGTTTTTCGTGAAGCGGCCACGCCGAGTGGTGACCCTTCCTGCACCCATCTCCGAGGGGGGATGGCCGACGAGCCAGCGCGTGCGCTGCACAGACCGTTACTTTTGCCCGTTGGGATCGTCCAGTCATGAGGCGTATAAAGAACAAGTGGGGGAGCACGCGGGCATTAAGACTTGTCAATATTGAACCTTGGATTGGACAGCCGCGCGACTGAACGGCGCGTCGGCTGGGGCGTAACATTTGTTAGCAGATCTGCGATGTTGGGTTTTTTTGTGAGTTGTTGGCTCCAACTGGCTATGCCCACATCTTTCTCATCCATCTCTCCTGTACTCCCGCAGTGTCTCTATTCCATTCTCCCTCGCTGCCCATCGTTTCCCCTCTTCATCTCGTTATCCCCTCCTCCTTTCGTTCCCACCCTCCCTCGCTGTCCTTTCTCTTCCCGTTCACCCCATCCCGTTCATTTCCTTCCACTCGTGCGGAGGAGGAGGGAAGAGGCAGGTGGGGCGAGGACTCGAACGCAGCCCTCGCTCCGTTCTCCTCCCTCCCCCTTCCACTTCCTCCTCCTCCTCCTCCTCCTCCCTCCTCCCCCCCTTCCCCCCTCCTCCTTCCTCCCCCGTTCTCCTCTCCTTCCTCCTTCTCGCTCCTCCTCTGAGAAGTTCTCCGCCGAGCAGGGCGGACAGGAGTACTGCTGCCTGTAGCCGTTGTTGGGACCTCTCCAACCTGGGCCCCGCGAGGAACCCCAGACGGCGCTGCCGTCCTGGACGTTCCCTCCTGCCGAGCCGATCCGATCCTCCCTCCTTTCTTCTCCCTCCTTCCTTCTCCCTCCTCCTCCTCCCTCCCTCCCTCCCTCCCTCCTCCCCTCCTCCCTCCTCCCTCCTCCCCTCTCCTCCCTCCTTCTTCCTTCCTCTCCTCCTCCTCCTCCCTCCCTCCCTCCTTCCTCCTCTCCTCCCTCCCCTCCTCCTTCCTCCCTCCCTCCGCCCTCCCTCCCTCCTCCCTTCTCCCTTCTCCCTCCTCCCTCCTCCCTCGTCCTCCCTCCTCTTCCTCCTCCTCCTCCTCCTTCTCCTCCTCCCTCCCACCTCCTCTCCTGCCTCCACCGCCCCTGCCCCGTGCCAGCGCAGCATAGCGTGGCAACGCTTCGAGCACCCCAGGTCCTAACTCTCCTCCTCCTTCTCCTCCTCCCTCCTCCTCCTCCTCCTCCTGCTCTCCTCCTCCTCCTCCTCCCTCCTCCTCCTCCTCCCTCCTCCTCCTCCTCCTCCTCCTCCTCCGCCTCCTCCTCCTCCTCCTCCTCCTCCTCCTCCTCCCCCTCCCCTCCTCCCTCCTCCTCCTCCTCCTCCTCCTCCTCCTCCTTCTTCTCCTCCTCCTCCCCCTCCCCCGTCCTCCTCCTCCTCCCCCGTCCTCCTCCTCTTGACCTCCCCACTCCTCCTCCCCGGTGGGACCTGTCTGGGCCGTCATGGGGCCGTCCTGGGCCTCCGTGGCGCCGTCCCGGTGCCTTCGGGGGGCCCTCTTGGGCCGTCCTGGGTGCGTCCCGTGGCTGTCTCGGGGGCTCCTTGGGGCTCTCGTGGGCCATCTTGGGCCCCTCTTGGGGCCTCTCTTGCGCCGTCTGGGGACCCTCATGGGTGAGGACTAGGGGGGGTGAGATATCATGGCGTGGGCCATGATGTTTCTTCAGATTTCATGGCGCCTGTTCTTATTTCATTACGTCCCTGGCCCCCCCTTGGGCCGCGCACATGCTGCCGGCCGCGATTTGCGCCCCCCCCTCTTGGACGCCCCCCTCTTCGCCGCCCCCGACCCCTGCCGGGCGGCCGGGTCCAGCCCGTAGTGGCGCCGACGGTCTGATTTCGGCGTTGCTCGACGGGTTATCCGCAGCGGACGTTGGCAGGAGCCACGAGTGTTTTTGTCTATCGGCCCACGCGTCCTTCAGGATGCTTGGCAATCTTGCTTGCTCGGTTGCTGGCTTTTTCGAGCTCCACCGCAGCCCGCTTGCGCCGCTGCCGCCCTTGTGTGGAGACACTTGGCCTTTTCCTTGGCTTTTTGGTATTGGCCGACAGCGTTCGTCCTCTTCTGGCGGCAAAATCCGAACCCTACCCTCGCCGATCAACGATCCAGGGCACTCGATGGGCGGCGGGAGCGCGGCTCTACCTCCGCCTCCTCCTGCTCGGCCCCGTTCCTCTTAGTGCCCACTTCGCTTCTGCAGTCTCCCTCCCGTGGCTCGGTTGGGCCGAGGTGAATGGGGGGGGGATACATTGGGGCGCGGCGAGGGCTGCAGAAAAGGCGCCCTTTAGGGCACCTACAGGTGCCGTTTAGGGCACCTAAAGGGGCGAAGGGGCCCTTGAGGCCCGAGAAAGGCACCTTTCCTTCCCCTTAATTGACACCCCCGCATTACCCAGACCCCCGACGTCAGGATTTTCACAAGGTCGACCCCCAGAGGGCTGGATCCATTCCCTGGTACCAGTTTCTCATGCTTGGTCGTTTTTTGACGGTCCCGAGGCCCCATAAGGGTCCCCAGAGGCCGAAAATAGCCAAAAACCCTCCGTCTTGACTTCTTCGCAGCACGAGAGGGTCTGGGCACGTCGCGCACAACTCGGCTGGTGTCCGACCTCTCGTGTGCCCGCGGACCAGACAACAAAAGGCGGAGGCAACGATAGGGGGCGACAGGCATAGGAGGGACTGCATCGACCCCCGATCGCGATCGCCGATGGGTGCCGATTGCCCCACCCCGCCCAGGAAGGTGCGGCTTCGCTACCGGGGGCGCATCGCGGACCCATCGGCGATGCATCGCCGATTCCAGGTCGATGTTCCCCCCCCTGTGCCCATCCCCCCTTTCATCGTTGCCCTTCACCAGGCAACAAGAGATCCTCCTGCGCCGCCCGCCCGCGCCTCCGCTGCCCGCGCCGCCCCGCCAGCGGCCCCCCAGGGCGCCCGCCGGCCGCCCGCCCGCGTCCCGGAGCAGCTCGTGCGCGGAGCGGCGCAGGCGCGCGGGCGGGGCTCGGTGACGGAGGCGTAGGCGTATTGATAAGCACACGTATGTGTGTGTGTGTGTGTGTGTGTGTGTGTTTGTGTGTGTGTGTGTGCGCACATATGGGCACGGATGTATGCATGCATGCATGCGTACATACATGCAGGTTTGCATGCTTGTCTGCACGTCTGTCTGTCTGTATTCCGGTGAGTATGTCTGCATGTATGTGCGTATGAATGTACGTATGCATGCAAGTCTGTAAATGTAGGTACGTATGTATGCATACATGAGTGTATGCATGTCTGTTTGTATATGTACATGTGTATATGTGTATACATGTGTATGTATATGCAAATGCATATGTACATATACGTATATATATATATATATATATATGTATATTCGAATGCATAATTGTATGTATTTGTAGATGTACAGCTGTATGTAAATGCATGTGAATATGCATACGCATGTGTGCATTTTTTCATGCACTTGTAATTGTACTTGTATATGCATGTGTACAGGTGTATGCATTTGTATATATATATATATGTACATTCACATGCACATATATCAATCTATGTAGATGTCTGTGTTTATATATACGTGCATTCATTTGTATATGTATATGTATATGTATATGCATGTGTATACGTATATGTATATGTATGTGTATTTGTACACGTATTTGTATAGATATTTGTATATGTACATGCATGAGCATATGTATATGCATATGTTTATATACATGTGTACCTATATATATATACGTTGTGTGCATTTACATGCTTTCCATACATTTTATGTACACATTTATATAAGTATATCGATACACGCGTGTATGTATATGTATATGTACATGTATTTGTATAGATATATGCACATGTTTATGTACATGTGTATGTATATATTTATATATATATATACACACACATTTTTTAGGTATTTGCGAAACACACGTATATTTGGATTTGCATATTTATATGTATTTGTACCTGTATGTGTTTCTGGATTTGTATGTGGAATTGTAGATGTATCTATAGATATCTCTACACACGGTCACCCTTCAAAGGATTGTTCCTGAGACTCCAGGGCGGCTGGCGATGTATAAATCAGCACGGAGAGCCAGCGACTTTGTACACCGCCGCCCTCCACACACAGACGCCCTCCAGAAGGATTGTTCCTGGGATTCCAGGGAGGGTGGCGGTGTATAAATTACCACGGAGAGCCAGCGACTTTATACACCGCCGCCCTCCCTGAAGGTACATGCAAAATTCGTCGGATTTTTTTCTTTCTTTATGTTTTTTGTTTTTGTTTTTGTTTTTGATTTTTGTTATATATATATATATAGGTTTAAATATTCGTGGCGTATACAGAGGGGTATTATGACGCCAGGATGTGGCTTGCGATTGGCACTGGTGGGCTGGGGAGCACGACCCAGACCCCCTCATCGAGTCACGAAAATATCATGGCGGCATGTATTTCGCTCTTTCGGCCACCAGGGGCCCCTACCGGGCCTCGGTACTATCAGAAAACGACTCAGGAGGAGAAGCTGCTCCTGGGGAAGGGGTTCAGACCTCTCGGGGTCGACGTTACACAAAAGATCATGACGCCGGGGGTCTGGGGACGCTGTCCTCGCCGGGCCTCTTCGGGGCGCGGCGGAGAGCTCCGTCGGGGTCCTCGCCCGCCGCCCCGGGTGCCCCCCCTCGGTGCGGGTTTTGCAAGCCACGCCCTTCGCAATCTACAGCCGGAGTCGCCGAGGGGACGGCGGGGGAGGCACGCGCGCAGGGCGCCTGCCCCCTCTGCTGGATTCCTTGTTTCGAAGAGTAGCCGCCCCTGGCGCGCGCCGCGTGCCAAGGGGGGGGCCCAGCGCCGATGCAAGGAATCCGCGCAGACGTCCATCATTTTTTATTGTTATGTATAAATATACAAAACACATATTTGGGACGGAGCCAGGCTTGCCGTTTGCTCAGGGTATCGGCACAACGCGCCTCACGTGGGTGCGCATGGCCAGACCAGACCAGGAAGAGTTCGTGGACGGGGAGGCTGTCGACGCAGGCGTGTGGACGGGGATGGAGCGTCCCTTGAACAGCTATCCCAACTCAGCCTGTAGGGACAGGATGGGGGCGAAAGTCGGAAAGGATTCCCAGGTCAACGTGAGGATAGTCGGCCCAAAAGGCCGACCCAGAGTATCATGGAAGTGCAAACCACACACCGTCAATGTAGTGTCCAGACGACATGGGCGTGGTAGGCGCCAGCCAGGAACCGAACATAGACACCAAAGGACGGGCTTGGGTTTCTAGGAAGGAGTGAGGCGAATGATGAGGATGAGGATGGCGATGGCGGTGATGATGGTGATGATGGTAATGATGATGATGATGATGATGATGATGATGATGAGGATGATGATGATGATGATGATGATGATGATGAGGATGAGGATGAGGATGATGATGATGATGATGATGCTGCTGATGATGATGATGGAGATGCTGCTGATGCATGTGATGCTGACGATGGTGGTGATGATGATGAGGATGATGATGATGATGATGATGATGATGATGATGATGATGATGATGGTGATGATGGTGATGATGATGATGATGATGATGATGATGATGATGATGATGATGATGATGATGATGATGATGACGGTAGACTTACATTCGGTGAAAGGGGGGCTGCGCCTGCCAGTACGACCTTCGCAGGGCGGGGACGTCGCAGGGATGCGATCATCGCACTGTCAGGGGGCGAACCATCGGCGTCGGGTCTTGGAATCCACTGCCCCTCTGTTATGAGGCACTTGTATAGGAGAGGGAACAGAGGACAGAGTGTTTACACAGTTCGGAGGAATTCGTGAATTCAGTATGGGTCGGGCGTGAAGTGCCTCGACGGATGCGCGCGACTCGGCCAGTTCCAGTTTCTTGCGCGCGTGCGGCGGACGAATCTTGCCCCCCTCGCAGCGTGTTCTCTCATCGACAGGCCGAATATCGGCCCCGCGGCCGGGACAGGGGTTCACACGATGTACCTCCACCCTCTGGGGAGCGGAACCTTTGAACCACCCTCCCCGGACAGAAACCTGATCGTCTTCTGCAGCACTGTCATCGTCACCATCGTCGTCGCTGTCCGTAGCCGCTTGGCGAAACTCTTTCTGGGCCCACCCGCCCCGTCTCGTTTTAAAATGTGCTGGAGCCACGCGCGGCGTACGTAGGGCGACGCGCGGGCCGATATTCCATGGCACGTTTCGGATATTGAATTGCGGTTCTGGGGCATCGTGCCTCTTGGCGCCATCAAGGGGCCGCGCTGCGGCGTTGTCTGGTGCCGGGCTGGTTGCCGGCCGGGGGCTTGCAGTACGCAGCGTGAGGCATCGCGTCGTGTCCCCTTTTGGAACGTCAGCCTGAAATGGGCCTCCCGCATCACAGGTCAGGTGCAGGTGTTCCCCCATACGCGTGTTCTTCCATAGGTGCACGTGGGGGGGGGAAGCGTCCCCGAGCAGATCCCGCACGGGGCCTGTGCTTGTCGGGACTTGCCTTTCTCCTCGGTGCCAGAGCCCCGCTTGAGGCTGGCAGTGGGTTCTGTTGGTCCACCCCGTATCCGCACTCTCACGCACTTGGTGCGCACTCTCCGTCTCCCCATTCCTTCGCCCGATGTTCCTGCATTGTTCCTTGGCCATCGCATTATCCCTGCCTTGTCTCCACGTTGGCTTCATGCACGATCCGCGATCTAATCCCTGCGATGATGATGAGGATGATGACGATGGTGGTGATGATGATGACGATGATGATGATGATGATGATGATGGTGATGATGAGGTGGTAATGGTGACGATGATGGAAAATGGGGCTGATGAGGGTGTGGGTGATGATGACGGTGATGATGGTGATGATGATGGTGATGGCTCTTGATGGTTGTGATGGTGATTATGATGATGATGATGATGATGGTGATGATGTGGATGATGGTTACGTGGATGATTATGATGATGTGGATGGTGATGGTGATTCTGGTGGTGGTGGTAGTGAATACGACGAATATCAGAAAGCCGTGGCAATGATGATTGTGATGATTATCGTGACGTTCGAAAGTGTGACGACGATGATGATGGCGATGGTAACGCTGATGATGTGATGGCAAGGTGTGGGGTCGCGCACAGGCCGCCCCGAAGGTATTTCGGGCTTGCCCACCCTGCGAGCGCCCCGCACACCAGAGGGGACACAGTAGCGGGCCCAGTTTGCGGGTCCGAGTGCGATCGGTGCATTGTTTCTGCCCACCCCTCGTACGCTTCGTGCCCACAGGATCCCGGGTCTACGGCCCCAGAGGGCAGGTCCGCGTACGGTCGGCACACTAGCTTGGGGGTTCAAGTTTCGCACGTTTCGTGCTCCGTATGTACAACACCCGGTGTGCGGCCCAAATCGTGTGGTCGGTACAGGGACCCCTCCCACGTTGCGTACCCCGTGCTGATTGGCGGAAATGCGGCCCCAGTGGGCAGATCCGCACTGGTTCGGCGCGTCCGTGGAGTCTCGGACGTTTCGTCTCGAAGGCGCCCATGGCGAGTCATGGCCGCCCCGTGCTTTTGGACACGCCTGTGCCGTCAACTGTCGAGAAAAGTGCGTCCACGCTGGTGGATCGCGTGTTCACCCAGCCGTCCGCCGCCAGCGGGCCGCTTGTTGGACCCAACTCGCTGCTGACCTAAAGTGCTCACCCAGCCGTTCGAGAAAAGCCGCAGGGGGAACATTGGGTAAGGGCCCTCCGGTGCCGCTCTGGGGCTCTCTTCAGGCCTCTGGCGCCCTTCTTGGGCAGGGGCCCTTCGAGGCCCCAAAGAGTTCAAAGCACAGCCCGTGTCCTGCTCGAGGAGGAACAGAGCTGCGCCGAGGCGAGCCAACAGCCAGGCCGAGTCACGGGCGCGCGCACGGGCCCTGCGGGACGGGTCCTGCGAGGCTTGGCTGGCGGCTGCTCGGGGCCGCGGCGGGGGTCTGCCGCGATCGGCCCGGCCCAGACCCGCTTCTGCTGTCGGGTCGACGTCACCTGCGAGGGGGGAGGAGGGTGAGGATCGGCGAACGAGGTTTTTTTTTTTCTGGTTCGTTCGAGGGACTTGAGGTCTTACCGGGCCTGCCTGTCCTGTGCTGGGGATATTCTTACCTGTCATGTCCGAGGGATTCGACGAGCCGGCCAGGCGTGCGCCCGGCGGCAAGCTGGTCGGCGCCCGTGGGCACCCCGTGGGCGCCTCGCGTTGGGGTGGGCCTGCCGAGGTTGCGCCTGCTGCCCGCCCTTATGGGCGCTCGTGCGGGGGGATCGCGTGGGCGCCTCGTGCTGGGTGGGTCTGCGGAGGTTGCGCCCGGTGCCCTCCCTTATGGGCGCTCGTGGGGGGGGTCCCGTGGGCGCCTCGTGCTGGGAGGGTCTGCCGAGGTTGCGCCCAGTGCCCTCCCGGGGGGCCTTCGCGATTGGCGGCCGCTCGCACAGCACTGCAATAGCTTGTACCGCGTAGCTTGCACCAAGTAGCTCGCATCTCGCATAGCTAACACCACACAGTTTGGGCCACACAGCTTGCACCACACGGCTTGAACCTCATTTGCTGCACAGTACAGCTTGCACCACGTAGCTCGCACAGCATAGCTTGCACCGTATAGCTTACACCACACAGCGTGCACCACACACAGTACACCACATAGCTTTCATCACATAGCTTGCACCGCATAGCTGATACCATACAGTTTACACATCCACAGGGTGATCACTTACTGCCTGTGTCCAGGCTTGCAAACCTTTGTTATTTGTGTTTCTCTCACTCCTCTGGAGGCTTCCAGAGGCCTCCAGGAACCTCCCGCGAGGAACCCTAGGAATCTGGGGAGATCTCTGGAGACCTCCGGGGACGCCCAGGGAGGACCAGATGCTGCCAGGGCGAAGTCTTCAGCGGGGAACGGCACGACCATGAGACGATCTTCGCCCCTCAGGCGGCGTCCGTCGCCCAGCTATCGCCTCGACGAGCCCGACGTGGTGCAGGGGCCAGCGCCGCAGTCTGTGCAGCGGGCCGAGGTCAAGATGCCCATGGGCTTTGGCAAGCGCGCCGGTACAGTGGCGTTCGCCTGCGAAGCTGAAGCGTGCAATTAGCGCGAAAAGCGGCGGCCTCCATCCCCTGCATCCACCGTGTGTATCAAAGTGTAATGCCGGGGAGACGAAGTAGAATTCAGTACCGTGCGCATCAAAGTGCAATGCCTGGGGAAGTGGCTGAATACTAAGACAAGTGCCCGATACCCCACACAAGTCATGTGGTTTGGGAGTTTGTAAGAGAGAGAGAGAGAGAGAGAGAGAGAGAGAGAGAGAAAAAAAGAGAGGGGGAGAGAGAAAGAGATAGAAAAATAAAAGAGAGAACAGGAGAAGGACACAGTCACCGTGGCTGGGCTGTGGTTCAGAGTCTTCTTGGATGCAACTTACAAGTGTTTAGGATGTCTCTCGGGAGACTCTTGGAAGGATGTTGGGGGCTTCTGAGGGGCCTCTTGCCTGTTGGGGACCTCTTGGAGCGCCTTTGGGGGCCTCTTGGGGCCTCTTCGAGCGTTTTGGGGGGGCCTCGGGAGTCTCTGGGAGTCTCTTGGGGCCATCTTGGGGCAGGAGGCTCGAAATGTCCGCTCGTGCTCTCCCTCTTGGGGCCCTCTTGGGGCCCTCTTAGGTGCCTTTAGGGCCGTGTTGGGGGCCTCTTGGGCCCTCTTTGAGCGTCTCGGGGCCCTCTTGGCGGATTCTTGGGCAGTGCTTCGGCGCTATTGGGAGCTTTTTGGGCCGTCTTGGACCGTTACAAGCTGAACAAGGCGAGAAGGCTAAATTCTTTCAACTACCGAAGGACAATTCGTGATTCTGGCTTCTGAAGGCCCTCTTGGGGGTGCTCTTGGGGCTCCCCTTGGAGCTTCTTGGGGTCTTTTTGGGCCGTCTTCAAGCCATCATGAGGATCTTGGGGCGATCTTGAGGCGACTCGAGGCTCTCTTGGGCCGTCTTCGTGGTCTCCTCGGTCCCTCTGGGCCCGTCTTGGGTCTCTCACGGCTTCGGGAAGACGCACGCAGATTCTAGAATCTTGGCTGCATCAGCAGCAGCACAGCTGTGAGCCTCGTGGCGCCCCACTTCTTGCCAAGGGCACGATAGTGGAGATGTATATATATATATACATATATAGATATATATGTATATATATATATATATATATATATATTTCGAGAGAGAGAGAGAGAGAGAGAACGAGAGAGAGAGAGAGAGAGAGCGAGAGAGAGGGAGATAGAGGCAGGGAGGGAGAGGGAGAGAGAAAGAGAGAGAGAAAGAGAGGTAGAAATAAATACATCTAACGAGAGAGGGAGAGAGATATAGAGGGCGAAGCAGGGGTTGAAAGAGAGAGAGAGAGAGAGATACAGTGAAGCATACGTAATCGTTTTCATATCTACATCTTTGCATGCACAGTATGTGTGTCCAGGCTTTGTTTCGCGCGCGGTATTTCTTGTCTAAGGCGCCGCGCAAGTTGAAGGAGAGCAGATGGTGCCGTGAGGATTGGCAGCAGTCCAGATGCCTGCGGGAAAACAACGCCACCGTGCCAGCGTAGCACTGTATGGCAACGCCTCGAGCACCCCAGGTCCTAACTTGTGACACCTCTCGTGTCTACTTCTTCAGGTGTTCTCATTGGGGTCTGCTTCCGTGGCGCCCTCTCAGTGCCCTCTGGGGGCCCTCTTTGGCCATCTTGGATCAGTTCCTTGGCTGTCTTGGGGGTTCCTTGGGGCTCTCTTGGGTCGTCTTGGGCCCCTCTTGGGCTGTCCTGGGCCTCTCTTGCGCCATCCTGGGGCCCTCTTGGGGCTGTCTTGGGCCGTCTTGGGCCGTCCGGGGGGCGCCTGGAGGTCATTGAGCCCTTTTGCCCTCCCTTCGGCTCCTCCGAGGCCCTCTTGGAACCATCTGGAGCCGATATGCCTCGGAAACTTAGTATACCTTCGGAAGCCTTCCTGGATCTTTCTGGATTTTTGGATCGGGCATCTCCGTGGCGTCCTCCAAGCCTCTGGGGTGCCCCCTGGGTGCCTCTTGGGGCTTTCTTCGACGCTGTTGGGTCGCTCATCAGGCAGTGATGGACCATCGTTGTGCCTTGCTGGCTTGCTCTCGCCGTCTGGGACGCCTTGGGTCAGCCCTGGAGATCCCCCTGAGGGGGCGTCGGGCCGCCCAGGGCGCATCGAGAGGGGGGCGTGCGTGCGCCACCGCGCGGGGAGGAGGGAGGGCGGCAACGTGAGGACCGAGGTACAAAGATCGAGGTCGGTGCGAGGAGGGTACCCTGGTGTTCTTCGTGCTCGTCGGATGCTCTCGTGCATCCTGAGGAGGGGGTGCCCATGGATGTTCGGTTGGTCTGGGCCGACGGAGGGCCTCGTGTTCTTGAAGGATGTTGTTCTGGTCCAGTTTCTACATATATATATATATATGTATGTATATGTATATGTACCCTACGAGGCAACACTTGGCATTCTACCACGCCTCAACGTGCCATGGGGGTACAGTGCTGGATATTGCGTTTGCCGTTGAGGCGGGCCACATGTGGTGAGGATAAAGTCGCAGACTGGGGGCGATCTTCTGCTGATATGCCTGCCTTGACTAGTCACCATGTCAGCATCACACTTTGATGGTGGTCGAAAGCTGAGCGAAGTATCCGTCTCGCGTTCATTACATTTAGCGTTCTGTGAGCGTTCCTGTAGCCTCTGTCATCACGCGTGCCTCTGTCAAGATCGAATATCTGTCCCACCTGTAGCCCCTCGGCACGCGAGCAGTGTTCTCTCGGCAATGGTGAAGAAGCAGCCGAAGAAGAGGGCATGGAGCAAGGTGAAGGTCGACGATGTCGAGGAGGCGATGGAGGACGACCGCAACATCGCCAAGATGAAGCGATACGACCGCCCAGAGGCTCTGAAGGGCAAGGACGGAGGCGCGGATGCGGCGGAACTGTTCACCATCGACACCAAAGGATCCTTCGAGGGTGTCTCGGCGACCTCGCGCCGCGAGATCGCTCGGGCGAAGCTCTTCCCGCCGAAGGGGCCGAACATTGGCCTGTCGGCCACGGAGGAGTCGAAGGTTTCACGTGCCGAGGGCTCCCTGGGTGCGGCCAGCAAGCGCGCCCGCGGCTCCAAGGAGCCGGAGGTGTTCGACCTGTGGGCCGCGCCCGACCCGGCCACGGCGCGGAAGCAGAGGGCCCAGGCGGAGGAGGATCGGAGGCAGCAGAAACACTTCTTGCGTCGGCGGCCAGGCAGGGGGTGACTGCGCCGGCGATGAGAGGCTTAAAAACGGGGGTGCCGTCAAGCGAATTGCGCCACCATGCAAGAGTGGAGGAGGAGACGACGAAGCGACGGCCGAGGAGGAGGAGGAGGAAGCGGGCCGGGGCCGCTCAGAGGAACGGGTCGTTCCCAGGGGCGCGTGGCGCGGAGGCAGCAGAAGCACGAGATCTTGAGTGCCATGTCTGGGAGGCCTCTTTCCACAGGCTCGGCCCACCGCTGCTGTCTCCCAGCGCGCTCCTCGCTCGTTTTGTGTCGGGGGGTGGCGTGGATTTTCGCTTGTTCCGTCGTTGGCCAGACTCAGATCCGGATCCGCGGCCTCGCGGGCCGGGCCCCTGGGCCGCGACCCCGCGGATCCGGGGCGTGATTCGGCGGATGCACCGCGCGGATCGCGTCCGTGCGACCGCGTACTCGCGGGATCGGGCCCCGCTCGGCGGCTGCGAAGGGTGAAGTTACGCTTAAGTCGGGCGTGTCCCCCTACAGGGGGATTTCGACGAACTATAAAAAAATACCCTCAAAATACCCCCAAAAGGTAAAACAATAATAAAAAATAGTCCCCAGACTATTTTTGGACTGCGAGGGCGTGGGAAGGGATGCGCTCGCCGCTCGCGACTCCTGCTGCCTCTGGGGAGGAGGCTGCGATGACCGTGATCAGGCGACCACTGACACGGCCATCGAAGGTCGGGCCAAACGAAAGGGGGGTATCTTGGACAGGGGGGGTTACGAAATCTGCTGTATGTAGCTGGTTTCGGTCCCGCCGCCGGGCCCACATTTCTTGATATGCGGGCGTTTTTTGGCGCCGGGAGGCGCCCGGAAAATTAGCTACGTGAGCTGATTCTCACCCCCCCCTTTGCTGTCCCCCCTTTCGCCCGGCCCGAGAAGGTGCCTAAGACGTTGCACCAGAAGGTCAGCGCCGCACCGCCGGTCATACCGGCACACGAGGGGCAGTCCATGAACCCGACCGAGGAGGCCTACGAGGAATTGGCCTGCACTGCGGCCGCGAGGCTCGCTGTCGATTCGAGGATGAGCGCCCGTTTGGATGTTGAGTTTTCACGACCGAAGAATGATGATTGTTGATCCCCCCTCTCGTGGGCAGACTGTTTTTTTTTCAATCGAAGTGTCCTTCCCGGGGCTGGCTCTGTTGTTGTTGTTGTTGTTGTTGTTGTTGTTGTTGAACATTATTACTTCTAAAGAATAATTATTGTTGGGACCCCTGGTGCACGGCCCCCTCGCCGCGCCTAGGCCGCAGCCACATTTTCATCATTTTCGTGAGGAAGTCTCAGGCAAAACGATGTGATCCAGATCCGGTTGTTTTGTTGTCGGCCCGCTTTCCCTTGCAAAAAACTAAAATGACATTTCTTGTTCTAACATAACCAAATTCAAGAATCCCTTGCAAAAAATAAGGTAAAGTGGACATTCGCGCGCGCAAGACGAAATCCTTCCAAAACCTTAGTTTTCGTAGCGATTTTAACATAAAAACATAAAACAAACTTTTTTTTTTATTTAAAAAAATGTCAAAATCATCCCGCGCGCTCTTGCGGATTCGTAGGAAACCCAACACTTTTTAAACATTTCTGTCAAACGGGCTTTTGCGAGCAACTTTTTCGAACTTCTGCAACAACGGTTGCGCACCTGCCAGGGCCATCATCCCTGTCAAATAATACCATGCGGGACACATTCGTTTTTTCTTCGCGCGCGCACGCCGTCGTCGTCGGCCGCGGGGCCCTGAATAGTAGCCACGGTCGTCCGCATGCCACGAAGTGAAGTGTCCGAACGTCATAGGGCGGGAAGCTGGGTGTGGGTGGTGGCGAAGAGTCGTTTGGAAATTTGGTAGAGCTTGAACCGGCCCCCCCACAAAGTGGGGGTATTGCCCGCCTCCTATGAAAACCCTGGCACTGGTGAGAACGGAGTGTCCCCACGTGCTAGTAATTGTTGTTGTTGTTGTTGTTGTTGTTGTTGTTGTTGTTGTTGTTGTTGTTGTTGTTGTTGTTGTAATTGTTGTTGTAATCGTCGTTGTTGTGGTTGCTGTTGTTGCTGTTGTTGTTGTGGTTGTTGTGGTTGCTGTTGTTGTTGAATTCTCATTCCTGAAGAATAATTATTGTTGATCTCCCCCACCGGTGCAGACTGTTTTTTAATCAAAGTGTGCCCCTCGACGCTCGCACTTTGTTTTTTGACACGGAACGTTTTCCTGCTCAAACTGGGCCCCTGGCCCCCGGGTTACAACAACAACGGCTCCCGCCTGAGACTTCCTTACAATTTAGCCAGGACCCCCGCTCCCGCCCGAGAGTTCCTCGCATTTTATTCAGGAAACGCGCTCTCGCTTGGGACTTCTTTACAATTTATTCAGGAATCGCTTTCCCGGCGCTCTGGAGTCGCGCTCTCGCTGGAGACTTGCTTGCAACTTGCTGAAGAATGGCCTTGCGTTGGAATTTCCTGCAATTTGCCCAAGCGCCGCGCTCCCGACACCCAGGCACCCAGGAGTCGCGCCCGTTGTGGCCCCATGTGCATGCCCTTCGTGGCCCCGCTGTCGCCATTTGTGTCCCTCTCACTGTCCTACGTGGCCCAGTTGCTCCCCTCAGTGGCCCCATAGTTGCCTTCTGTGGCCCCGCATTATCTGCACTTCGTGGCCCCGCTCGTTCGCGCTCTTCGTGGCCCCATACGCATTGCCTTCGTGTCCCCGCTGTCGCCTTTCGTGGCCTACTTCGTGCCCTTCGTGGCCCTGCTGTCGTTCTCTCTCGCTCTCGCTTTCGCTCGTCATCGCCGTCGTCGTCGTCGTCTCCGTCGTCTTCGACGTCGTCGTCGTCGTCGTCGTGGTCGGTCCCCTGTCCGTCCCTCTTGGGGTCGGGTCGACGGTCCGCGGCCGCCCCGCCGATCAGCGCTGCCGCTGGCCAGGCCGACGGTCCGCGGCCGCCCCGCCGCTTGCCGGGGCCCGGCCTGCAGGGAAGAAAGGTATACCCCCCAAAAGGGGTTCGATCGAAGACGAAGAGGGCGGGTATCGAGGGTTTGGGAAATACGCGTTATTGGACACTCGAGGATACAAGGGCGAACAGTCTTAGAATTATTATCATTGTTATTGTTGTTGTTGTAGTAGTAGTTGTTGTTGTTGTTGTTGTTGTTATTATTATTGTTGTTGTTATGGTTGCTGTTATTGTTGTTGTTGTTGTTGTTGAACATTATTAATTCTAAAGAATAATTATTGTTGGGGCCCCTGGTGCGCGACCCCCCCGCCGCGCCTAGGCCGCAGCCACATTTTCATCATTTTCGTGAGGAAGTCTCAGGCAAAACGGGGTATACCAGATCCGGTTGTTTTGTTGACGCCCGCTTTCCCTTGCAAAAAACACTATAAAATGAAATTTCTTGTTCTAACATAACCAAACTTCAAGAATCCTTTGAAAAAATGACACGAAGTGCACACTCGCGCGCGCAAGATGAAATCCTTCCAAAACCTTAGTTTTCGTAGCGATTTTAACATAAAAACATGAAAAACCCAATGGTTTTTCAAAAAAAAAGTTTCAAACATTCATCTTGCGCGCTCTTGCGGATTTCTGAGGAAACCCAATATTTTTTCAACATTTCTGTCAAACGGGCTCTTGCGAGCAACTTTTTCACGTGCTTCGAACTTCTGCAACAACGGTTGCGCGCATGCCAGGGCCATCATCCCTGTCAAATAATACCATATTGGACACATTCGTTTTTTCTTCGCGCGCGCACGCCGTCGTCGTCGGCCGCGGGGCCCTGAATAGTAGCCACGGTCGTCCGCATGCCACGAAGTGAAGTGTCCGAACGTCATAGGGCGGGAAGCTGGGTGTGGGTGGTGGCGAAGAGTCGTTTGGAAATTTGGTAGAGCTTGAACCGGCCCCCCCACAAAGTGGGGGTATTGCCCGCCTCCTATGAAAACCCTGGCACTGGTGAGAACGGAGTGTCCCCAGTCTTAAATGATTGTTGTTGTTGTTGTTGTTGTTGTTGTTGTTGTTGTTGTTGTTGGAATATACAGGGGTTGGGGCCTCGTGTTCCAGCCCCCCCCCCAGCAACCAGCAACCAGCAACAATCCCTTAGGGAGGCCCACCGAAGCTTCATTTCGGTGGACCTCCCCACGGTGAAGCGCCCACAGGGCGCCCACAGGGCGCTCCAGGGCCACGATCCTCGAGAGGGGTGTGCCGAGATGAAGCGTCGGTCCAGCTCCCTGTGGGGCCAGGGCCACGATCCTCGAGAGGGATGTGCCGAAATGAAGCTTCGGTGGGGTTTCCTGCGAAGCCAGGGCCGCGATCCTCTCGAGGATCGTGGCCCTGGCGCCACAGGGAGCTCCTCCGAAGCTTCATTCTAGCACGCATCTATAGAGGATCGTGGACCTGGCCCCACGGGAAGCTCCACCGAAGCTTCATTTCGGCAAAACCCTCTCGAGGATCTCGGCCCTGGCCCCACAGGGAGCTCCACCGAAGCTTCATTTCGGCACACCCGTCTCGAGGATCGTGGCCTTGGCCCCACACGGAGCTCCACCGAAGCTTCATTTCGGCACACCCCTCTCGAGGATCGCGGCCATGTCTCCGCAGGGAGCTCCGCCGAAGCTTTATTTCGGCACACCCCTTTCGAGGATCATGGCCCTGGCCCCACAGGGAGCTCCACCGAAGCTTCATTTCGGTACACCCCTCTCGAGGATCGTGGCCCTTGCCCCACAGGGAGCTCCAGCGAAACAGCATTTCGGCACACCTCTCTCGAGGATCGTGGCCCTGGCGCCACAGGGAGTTCATCCGGAGCTTCATTTCAGCACACCCCTCTCGAGGATCGTGGCCCTGGCCCCACAAGGAGCTCCACCGAAGCTTCATTTCGGCACGCCCCTCTCGAGGATCGTGGCCCTGGCCCCACAGTGAGCTCCACCCAAGCTTCATTTCGGCGGACACCTTTCGAGGATCGTGGCCCTGGCCCCACGGGAAGCTGCACCGAAGCCCGATTTCGGCGCACACCTTTCGAGGATCGTGGCCCTGGCCCCACAGGGAGCTCCACCGAAGCTTCATTTCGGCAAAACCCTCTCGAGGATCGTGGCCCTTGCCCCACAAGGAACGCCACCGAATTTTTATTTCGGCACACCCATCTTGAGGATCTGGCCCTGGCGCCACACAGGGAGCTCCCTGGCCCAACAGGGAGCTCCACCGAAACTTCATTTCGGCACACCCCTCTCGAGGATCGTGGCCCTGGCCCTACAGGGAGCTCCACCGAAGTTTGATTTCGGCACACCCCTCTCGAGGATCGTGGACCTGGCCCCACAGGGAATTCCACCCAAACTTCATTTCGGCACACCCTCTGGAGGATCGTGGCCCTGGCCCAACAGGGAGCTCCAGCGAAACAATATTTCGGCACACCCCTCTTGAGGATCGTGGCCCTGGCACCACAGGGAGTTCATCCGAAGCTTCATTTCGGCACACCCCTCTCGAGGATCGTGGCCCTGGCCCAACAGGGAGCTTCACCGAAGCTTCATTTCGGCATACCCCTCTCGAGGATCGTTGCCCTGGCCTCACATGGAGCTCCACCGAAGCTTCATTTCGGTACGCCCCTCTCGAGGATCGTGGCCTTGGTCCCACAGGGAGCTCCACTGAAGCTTCATCTCGGCACACACATCTCGAGGACCGTGGCCCTGGCCCCACGGGGTGCGTCGGTTCATTTCAGCACCCCCCTCTCGATGATCTCGGGCTTGGCCCCACAGGGAGCTCCGCCGAAACTTCATTTCGGCACACACCTCTCGAGGATCCTGGCTCTGGCCCAACAGGGAGCTCCACCGAAACTTCTTTTCGGCACACCCCTCTCGAGGATCGCGGCCCTGGGTCTCGCAGGGGGCTCCACCGAAACCGCATTTCGGCACACCCCTCTCAACGACGACGGCTCGTAGACAACCCACAGCCCAACGGCTGCAGACAGCTTGAAGACGGCCGGAGCACGGCGAGATTCGGTGAGAATTTGGTTAGGGTGGGTAGGTCCCCCCCTCTGGGCCTCCTCCGCCAGGAGGAAGAGG